GGAACGGCTGCGCACCAGACCCCGGACAGCAGGGCCTGCCCTGCAGCCTGCAGAGCCCTGAGGATGCAGTTCCCGTGTTCCAGCCGCCGGGCTGCGGTGTTCGTCACTGCGGCGCGAGCTGACTGAGACACCCTGTGACTCTGCCAGGAAGTGCTCACTCCTGCCTTTCTTCTCGTCAGCGAATCCATCATCTCCCTCCTCTTGTCTCTTCTCTTCCCCCCCCCCCGCTACCTTAAAACAACAGGGACTATACCTTCAAGGTTGGCTCTCCCGCCAGCCGCCACCTGTTTCCTCGCTCTTCCCTGTTTTTGCTGTTGGTCACACTTTCTCCAGCGCGTCTCTCTGCCCTCAGCACTTCCTTATCTCCATCACGCCGATGCTGACGGCCTCTCGCGCACTCAGCACATTTATCGGCTACGTCCCATAGGTCAAAAGCCAGGTTGGGTCTCAGAGGGTACAAAAGAGAAAGGTATGGCCACCACGCACCCGACAGTCTCAGAGGTCATGTCGCTGATTTATATGATGGTTTATTTCTAAGCATCCAGATTCCGGAACTTACAGCTTCTCTGCTGTGTGTGCAATGAGTGTGCCTGGTGGAGGCCTGGTATGTAGCAGGGCTGAATGAGTCGCTTTTGAATGAATGACCCAAGTTTTCTGCAGCGCAGGAGGTGGGGGGAGGGGTCACAGCACTTCGCCGTGGTGAGCTGGCCTGACGGAGGTCTGCGGCGTGTGCTGTGGCAGAGAGCGCGCCTGACTCTGCGGGTGGGGAAGTGGTCCTTGAGCTGTGTCTTAAAGGATGAAAAGGAATGGGCTAGGTGCAGGGGGAAGACGGGATGGGAACATTCTAGGCAGAGAAGAAAACTGAGCGATGAGGGGGTGAGAACAAGCCTGCTGTACTCAGGGAGGTTCTGGCAGGCGCGAGTCCTGGTTTTGGAGAACAAGGTGGAGCCGGCGTGGAGTGGGGGAGGGGAGGTTACCAAGGTGAGCTCCAGTCCTTAGCTTGCGGCTCTGGCAGCCGTCCAGAGGGGGTGTTCCAGTTGGCATTTATGAAGACCCTGTTGATGGCGGTGCTGAGTTTGTTGAGACGGGGCCAGACTGGAAGAGGGAGACCTTCCTGGTGGCTCCAGCGCGGACCAGTGGGTGCCGACCATTGGCGGTGATGGCGTGATTGGAGAGGAGACCTCGGGGTCACGTGGCCTTGGGGTTGGAGAGGGGACGCCGGCACAGGGACAGGGAGGGGAGGCATCTGCCACGTTCTTGGTCTTGGGACAGGGTTACTGAGCAAACAATTGATTTTGTGTGATTTATCAACCTACTTTCCTCAAACACAGCCGCTCTGCTGGGGAGGGAGGGGCAGCGGGTTTTCCCGCCCCGAGGAGCCTGTGTGAGGGCAGAGGGCCGGAGGGCTGCGGTGAGCCCCGCTGTCCAGCTGCCCGGGTTCTGGTCCCAGGGCCCGGCTGGCAGGGCCCGCGGCTGTTTCTCAACTCCCCCATTGTCCTGGGCCTGACCTGGCGTGTCGCCCAGATGCCGGCAGTGGGCGGACGGCCGCCCCAGTCCTCTGTGCTGTGTTTCTGTCCTTTCTGGTGTTTTCCAAAGTATTCCAGTAGGAAATAGAATGGATCTGAGTCAAGCACTGACCGGAAGGCACAATTCTAGTCCTGAAGAACCTGTTGCTGGAAATAACTGCTTTGGAAGAAAAAAGAGTACTTTGGAACTAGGTTTTCAGAACTCCCCAGGCCAGCATGTGTGTGGCGGGGCGTGTGTGTGGTGCACAGGCACTGGGAGCAGCCAGGGGTAAAGAAACGTGGAGTTCCGGGAAGAACATGCCTTTCCATCCCTGGGTCCCCCGCCCCCAAGGGAGACGTCTAGGGAGTGTTTGGGGTCTCCAGGACGTAGACCGTGGGAGGCCCCCGGATGTGGCTTGAGGTCCCGTGGGGCTGGAGGAAGAGCTGCAACATCCTTGGAGACAGTGCTCCTTGGAGACGGCCTCTCTGGTACCACGGCCCCCCTCTATGCCGATCCTGGCAGCTCTGCTTGCAGACCTGGGGGCACACGCTCCCACAGTTTAACCTCTTTGCTTGCCAATCCGTGCTTTCTAGCTAACAGTGCCCCATCTCAGACCTCCACCATAACAGGTCTGCACTTGACCTGCAACGCCCTGCTGCCCGGCCCCACGATTATGTCTGCCCTTCTCTCTGCACCCTGTCTGCCTCCAGCAAAGTGCCCTGTACATCCTCCCAGCTGCGGCTTCGTGCCTTTGCTCACGGCGTCCTCCCGGACACAGGGGCCCATCTCCTGCGTGGAGGTCCTGCTGCGGCTTCGAGTCCGTCCCCCGGAAGTCAGATCTCTCCGTTCCTGAGTCACGTGGCTTTAGCCTCTGCCTCAGATGGCTCTCCAGTCCTCGTCCACGGATGTGTTTCTTCACCCCTTCTGGACATGGTCACGTCTTGATGGCACTTTAGTACCTTTCTGCACTCATCACAATATTCTGCCCTGGCAGGTGGTCAGCACCACCGCCGCAGGCGTGCGAGGTTGGCGTGCCTGCTCCCACCTGGCCTCCGACGCTCTCACCACATCTGTCTGTGTAACAGCCAACGGGGACCAGCCACAACCACACACAAAGCTTTAGTTTTTTTCAGCCTCTACTCCAAAACTTTGAAGAAAACTTAGACCATTGAATGCTTAAAATTCATTCATTCAATAAACAAATATTTACTGTGCTCTGACTATGTTGTTGGTACATCAGTGTACGTCCCCCTCTCCCCCCAACCCACCCTCCGCAAATCCCTGCCTTCATAATGCTTATTTTCTAGAAGGGAAGCAGATAATAGCTGTAGACATAATAAATATGTCACAATGTAGTGTGTAAGGGTATGACTGAAAGCTACAGAAACCAGACAAAAGCAAGCCAGGAGAGCGGTAGGGGACACACGGGGGCAGGGGGTCTGTGACAGTGAATCGGGCGGCAGGTGAGGCTCACTGAGACACTCTGACAGCTCAGAGAGACAGGGAGCTTAGCAGGAAAGAATTCTATTTGGAACACAATTTACAAATAAGGTTATATGGATTTTGAACATAATTTAGTTGTATTTATTTTCTTTAACCTTACATGATAACTCTTCTGGCGACAACAAAGAGCTGAACCAAGCAGTGTAGTAGAGGTTTTATTATAAGTGGGAGATTTATAAATCCTACAATAAAAGGCTTGGAATCTATCTTAATTTCCAAGCAAGGATGTGAGTATCTCGTGTTTGTCTGGTGTGTGTATCTGAATGGATCCTCCCTTTGCCGTCACCTCTCTCCCCGTGACCTGGTCCGTCTGGGTGCTGCTTCCCTGTTCTGACCTCCCCGCGTTGCTCTCTGACTCGCCCTCTCCCTGCTCTCCGTCTGCGCGGTGGCAGGAGTCGTAGGAAACAGCATTTGTGCTCCGTGGAGCGTGTGCCACCGCCGCTCTGCAGTTCAAAGGATAAAAAGTTGGTTTTCAAGACAATTAAATTAAAAAATTTGCAAAACCATGCCCCAAGATCACTGTTTTTCATTGAAGGTTTTATTCAGATAATTGTAGACTCAATGCGATTGTAAGAAACAACACAGAGAAAGCCCTGTGTATCCTTTGCCGAGGTTTCTCCAAGGGCGCGCGTTGCAAACCCGTAGAGCAGCGTCACAGCCCGGAGGCGGGCGTCGGCTCGACCCGCCAGCAGTGTTCAGATTTCTGCGACTTTGTTTGCGCTGCTCTGTACAGGACACAAATGCACCCTTGTACAAATACCTGTAGGCGCTGTCATGACCAACAGACTTACTCAAACCTTGTTCGGGCATTACTGACTTCACGGTAGCTCTTCGTTTTGTGTTTCCGCAAAGAATGTTTTCCGACAGAAAGACGCCCCTCTCCCACCCTGTCTCACACTCACTCGCACACACACCACACGGGCATACGCATCGCGCCCCCGCCCAGATGCAGCCACACACGCTCATATACATGCACATCACACACAGACACTTGCACGCAAGTCACCAGCCGCAGCGGGTCCGGGGCGGGGCCTGGTACTCTGCGTTTCCCGCAGGCTGCCGGGTCCTGCTGCTGCGGCTGGTCTGCTGGCCACACTTGAGAAGCACTGTAGTTCAGGAACCACAGACCCACGGCCTGTTCCTGACCATCTCCTCGCCCCGACTCCACCTCCCCCAGCCCCCGAGATGTGATGGTTCTCCTGGGGTCCTTCCTTGATCCTGTCTCTCAGTCTGGTCCCTCCCAGAGACATCACACCCCTTCCTAAGGGGCTCAGCCTTCATTTCTAGGCAAATGATGCCCACATTTGTGGTCCAGTCCCTCTGACTGTGGAACGCCAGCCCCTCCCTGTCCACTGCAAGGCAGCCCCCTTGACCTGAGCACCTGCTTTTACCTTTGACGTGAACCACTCAGAACACGTCAGTCTCACCTTCACATCAGCTCCCCTGTCACCCCGCTGTCCTTTCGTCTGCATGTCACCTTTGCGCACTGGAATCCCAGGGCTCTCTGCCTCCGCCTGCTGTGGCCACCACCTCCCTCCTGCCCCGTGCCTCAGAGACTGGCACCTCAGTTTTGCACAGGTCACATCCCTGCTGAGGCCAGCAGACCATCAGTGGCAGCCTGGATTCAAGCCCTGGGCCCCCGACTCCCGGCCCTGGGCACCCCAGTCTGGTGCAAGGATTGGGATCAGAAACTATAATTCTTAGCATTTAAGGAGCTCTGGGATCTACAACTTCATTGTGTGTAAGTCTCAGATTTGAGCTACCAAATGCTGTTAACCCTCATTCGTTTGTTCAGCCCACGTATGTGACATTCTTACTGTGTGGCGGGCGTTTTTTCTCTAGGTCTTGGAATCTAGGGGAGGGATGGACCAGCGAGAGACTGCTGAGACAGAGACCAACGAACCGACCAAGGGACAAGCAGAGCCTCCCGGCGGCCCTCCCCGGCAGCTCCGCCCCGGTGCTGTCAGCTGCGGAGCCTCCCCCATGTAGGCAGGATGTGGAAAGGATTCATTTTATTTCCTTTGGTGCTGGGAGCGTTGAGGAGCAGCCTCTCCAAGAGCAAGCTAAGAGTCGAGGAGATGACGCTTGGGGTGAGCTGCTGTCAGAGAAGGCGGGGGAAGGGGTCACGAAGCACCGAGGAGCCTGTGGATGGAGCTGGAGGGCGAGACGGGGCAGATATCCGTGGGGACAGCAGTGAAGACTGGGGACTGGTGGTCCTAACAGAGCTGTGGCCCTCGGATCTGTGCTTTTTCCTCTTTTTCTGCCACAGTAGAGTGGGGTTCCTGAGAAAGGGCGAGCCATTGGGGTGCCTGAGGACAGACAGAATGGAGGTCTGTCTTGTCAACTCATATTCTTGTTCCTTTAGGTCCACTTATGTCTTCAAGGTCCGTGGTGACAGGGACGCCATGCCATTTCTCCTGTCTGTCTGTCCTTGGTGTCAAAACGATTAAGAAATAAAATTCTTACTCAACACTTACTGGTGTGGAAACCGGGGCTCTGAGCCATCAGGCAGGGGAAACGTGTGCGATGGGACACAGAGCTTGCACGCCCAGGCTGAGAAATCGGCCTGCCTGCGAACCCAGCTCGCACTGGCCATGCCGCCCCCTCCTACAGACGGCGCAGTGCGAGTCCCCGATGGGACCTAGCTGCAACGCGGTCCACTGAACTGGGGAACTTGCTATGAAACAGACGAATGTGGTGGCTTCCAGGCCCAAGTTATTCAAACACCTAAGGTCTTGGCTGAGCTGGGGGCTCCTCCTGGGTGCCTGGTAGCTCTCCTGCAGCTCAAACTCAAAAGGGACACGTGCACTTGCCAGGAAACCGAGTAAAACCAGGGCCTCTAGAAAGTTTGATTGTAACATTGGGTACCTGTCCAAGGCCCAGTGACCTTCGCCTCCAAAGAGACGATTGCACAAATGTGGAGCAACGTTCAGGCCTGTGCGAAGGCGGCACGGATAAGGGAAGTCGTTTCTGTTCCCATCTGCCATCGTCCCTCATTTATTTCATTTGAGATTTGATTCAGATATAACATCCACCCTTTTAGAGTGTACAAGTCAACTGTCTTTAGCATAGTCACAAAGTCATGCAACCATCACCACTGTCTCATTTGAGAATATTTACATCAACCCCCAGAGAAGCCCTGACCCGTCTGCAGACACTCCCTGCCCCTCGGTACCCCCAGCTCCTGGCAACCCCCGGTCTACTTCCTGTCTCTACCAAATTGGACATTCTGGGTATTTCCAACAAATGGAGTCCTACACCACGTGGTCTTTTGTGTCTGCCTCCTTTCGCTTAGAATCGTGTTCAGAGGTTTACCCGTGTGGATCGGTGCCTCATTCTTTACGACTGGGTAATACTCCATTGTACAATAGACCACGTTTTGTTCCTTGGTTTTCTTAATAAGGAGATTGTATTTTGAATTACCAATGCAATGTGGCGTTTCTTCCGAACGTGTTGATCCTAACGCAGTAACGACCAGGTCTTCGTGCCCCCCCCCCGCCCCCACAAGGCTCTTGTGTCGCTTTGGCAATTTGCTCACTTACCCAGGGGCGTTACTTTGCTGTGTGCTCATCCTGCCCGCGTCCTGGCTGTTCTGCAGGCTTGACAGTGGCTCTTATCACGCCCTGTAGTTGCTGTTTTCAGGTTTTCCCTGTGATGCACTCTCTGCACTGGGGAAGCACAGGGTCTTCTGGACTCACCAGGGAGAAAAGCATTTTCCAGCTTCAGGATGCAGGCAGCACACACTTTGCAGAAAGCGGAGAGCCAGCCACGGGGTGGGGTGGGGGTGGGGTGGGGTGGGTGGGTGAAAAGAATCAGTCTTTTGTTTCCGATCATCTTTCAAGCCGTGGAGCAGTCTCCAAAGGCACGTGGTGGTCCTAAAACTTCTGCTTCCATCTCCAAGCCTCACAAATTCACAGTCATGCGACGATCTGAGGCTGAGTACCTGGTGGGGTCACACCTTGAATAAACAGGGTAAGGTGGAGGGGCTCTTGCCTGGATGTGACTGGGGATGTGACGGGACCGAATGGATGCAACAGAGCAGTGGGCAGCGGGGCTGGTAAGACACGTGGAGCTGGGGGAGGGGTCGTGTTGGTTAAGAAGACAGAGTCCAGCCAGAGCCACAGCGTGCGCTCCAGCTGGTTCTGTAGGTCACGTCACCACCAGTCGGAGGAAGTGTCACTGCAGACCGAAGTGAGGGTCCTGCGTGGGTTTACAGAGGAGCAGACATCCCTCCGCCCTCCACCCCGGCGCGATGCTCCGCGGGCCTCACGGGCGCAGCCCGGAGCTGGGGGAGGGCGGGCGCGCGCCCCACTGCAGGCTCGCGCCTTTTCTTCCCTGCCATCCTTCGCCCAGCCCGCCGGCCCTGCACCAGCCTACACCACGAAGGCTTCTGGCTCTGGTCGGAACTTCCCCTCCTGTCACAGCTATGCTGTTTCCCTATTTCTCGTTTTGTATAGAAACCGAATTAGTAACTAAGCACATCTCTGAAGAGGCCTGAACAAAGAAATCCAGGTGCCCCGGTGTGGGCTTGTCTTCTCGCCACTGTCTGTAGGAGTGGGGAACAGACAAGACAGCTGGGCCTGGGGTTGTTATGGGGTCTCAATATTTGTGGGATCGAGGTTTGCAAGGTTGGCTGAAGCCGCCTTCAAAACAACCCAGGGAGGGAAATCTGTCCTTGTTTTGGGGACTGTGGATCTTGGCTGCATGGAGACTCGCCCAGGAGTCAGGAAGGAAGCTGCCAGCCAGTGTTTGGCCCCGGGTGGCCTTGCAAAGGCTCCCGCTGGTACAGTTGAGGATGTCCACGTCCCCCTCAATTTCGGGATGGTTTTTCTTCTTTAATTGAAGTACCCTCAGTTACACTGTGTCGCGTTCCAGTGTACAGCACAATGTCTCAGTCATGTATATACATACATATATTCGCTTTCATAGTCTCGGTTGTGTATTTTGTGATAACTGGCTCGGGGAAGGTCACAAGAGGTTGAGTCTGGCTTGAGCCCCAGATCCAGCTGATGCCGGACGGGTACAGCTGGGGCTTGTACGCATCCCAGGCCCTTGTCTCCTCCGGAAAAATAACCGAGCTGCTATCCTCCAAACCTTCCACGAATCATCAGAGGCAGGACTAGTGCCAAGTATCCGCCCCTCCACCGGGCCGAGCAGGTGGCCCTGAAGCCGAGCTTGGCCCTCCTGCTCTGTGGCCCCTCACCTGGGCTCTGGGGAGGGGGCTGCTGAGCACGTCTAGAACGGCTGTTTGGGACCTGACGGTTGGAGGCATTTTCTCAAAGGTTTTAATAAAGGCAGCGTGGCCTGGACACGTGGACACCGGAGAGCACCGACCTTCCTGGGGCGGTCAGGAACAGCAGCCCGGGTGCTGTGGAGCTGGATGCAGCTCTGGACTGCCCTCTCCATCCGAGGGCCTGAGACAGCAAATCCCGAGGCTGCGGGGCCACAAGCAGAGTCTGCCCCAGGGAACCGCTGGCAGCAAACCCCAGGGAAGGCGATAGGCTCATTCAGGAAGTGTTTATTGGCCCCTTTCTTTGCAAGACAAGTTGGTCACTCTGCCTTTCAGTTACAGACAGTGCCACAGGTCCCTAAGAAAGAGGAATTCTACAGGGCTGGGGTCTGCCAGGACGGGGGACCAGAGTGCCCCATTCTGCCTTCATTCCTCCACCCCTGCTGCCCACCTGGAAGCACACGGGGGAGGGTGAAGGCGCAGACGGGGTGGGGCCGGGGCTCAGCGGGGGAGGAGGAGGGGTGTCGGTAGCTCACCGCAGGCCGCCGGCACAATTCACGTGTGAATTACACCCTTTCATGCAGAAGCACTGAGAACGGCTCCAGGTTCTTCATCTCCTGCCGGTGGGGCCTCATTTTACCTGACAGCTTTAAGCCATTTGGAAAAATATCAAAAGGGAAAAAGGATTAGATTTCCAGCACGGGGAGGGCTCGGGGAGGGGGGCCAAGGCCCTCCTGGACGCGGACGTGTCTCTGTAAGGGGCGAGCCCACCTTTCCGACCCCCCTGCAACTGTGTGTTCACTGAAGGAAAGAGGCGACTTGCCCCTGTTCTTTCAAAAGCAAGTATCTCCAGTGGCATTTATCACGTTCTTAGACCTCAGATTGGAAGCAATTCTATTTTGACTTGACTGATTTTTTTGACTGTTAGAAGTGGCTTTTAAACCCCCAAATATAAAATTCTACGTTCAAAGTAAACACGCAGGCCGCTCTCCCTTCTGAGTGAGGCCTCCTGCGCTCGGTCTGCGGGGTGTGCACCTACCCCCATGCCTCTTGGCCTTTCTCTTGCCTCTAAAACAGCTTACACTGTGGAGTGTGTCTCTCTCTGAATAAATCTATCTTTATTCAAAAAAAAGTAAATACCCAGTGAATCAACACCAACTAAGGCCAAAAAACCCCCAACCCAACAAAAACAGCCCCCCTCCGACCCCCACGAAGGCCATGGTTGCAGGGGGTTCTAATCAGGTTTCAGAAACTCCAGTCCAAACAGGAATTCCTGACAAAGTCCAGGCAGCTCTGATCTCCAGGCACTTGGCAACGGCAAAGTCTTTTGAATTTGTTTAAAACTATTAAGAAGTAATTAAGTAGTTAAAGGGTCTTTTTCAGCCTGGCTGGGCTCGGGAGGTGGGTTAAGGAAAGAAACCGGCTCCCTTGCCAGCCTCGTCTTCCTTTCAGCTGACCCTGCGCTCTAATAAATCCATCCTGTATTTTTCTGCTACTGCCAATTTATGGCTGACAGGAAACTAATCTCGTACAATGACTACCTTCCTGTACTTAGTTCCTAAATAGAGCCAAATGGATGCGGCGGCGGAAGTGCCCGGCCGAGCCGGGAACAATGCTGAGCCCACAGGAGCCCAGAGGCCGCGCACAGCCTCCAGCCGCCGGGAGGGTCCTGTTTGGGCTGCCGTGCGCTGGAGAACAGAGAATCCAAAGCGGTCGTCAGTGCCAAGCCTCCCACCAGAGTCTGAGCACACACAGCAGGGAGAGATGTGCGTTTGAAACAGGCTGGGGAGACGGAGGTCCCGGAATTCAGAGAGTAAGAGCCACGCTGGCCAGACACCTTGCCCTGAAGACCTTGATTGGAAACTGTTATCTGCTCTGGGACTTAAAAAAAAAAAGAATCACAAGGGAGTGAATTTTGTCCTGAGCTGATGAGAGAGCTGCAGTCCCCTTTTAAAGTCAGATGCGTTATGAGAAGGGACGGAGAGGAGAGAGTGAGGCTGCATTCAAGTTTAGTGACATTTATTCAGGACGCATTCACAACCAGGCTGAGATGGGCAGGGACCGACACCAGGGAATGAGGCCAAGAGATGGAACGGCCTGTGTGATGTCTTTTCAGAGACACCCATAACTGACTGAGCTGGGAAAAGTCAAAAGTTTGTCCTTTGAAGGGGAGGGGATAGCTCCGTGGTAGAGCGCGTGCGTGGCGTGCACGAGGTCCTGGGTTCAGTCCCCAGTGCCTCCG